GTACAAAACGAGCTGATCTTCATACAGGATAAACCGATTCGTAGACCGTCATATCTCTGCGAGTGCGTCCTTGATGAGATCAGCGAAGCGCTCAATGCGGACGACCAGGCAGGGTCTGCACTTGCGGTCTCTGCCATGCCAATACCTGAGTTGGACAAAAGACCCGCCAGAATCAGAGCCCCTTCGGGTTCAAGGATCCCGCATGGCTCCGCAACTCAAATCTTGCAAGATGTCTGCCTGACGGGCATGCGAGAGCGGTGCTTCAAGGAACTACTAGTACTGCAAACAAGGGCACCCCCGGTCGTAATTGCACGGCTATCACTGCATTGCAAAGGCTTCTCGAGCCCTTGCAATGGTTACAGAGACTCAATGACCGACGAGCAAAGTTCTGGCAGGTCTGTCGGTCCTGTTTGTGCGGTAGCTATGGTGTCCTATATCAGCTCCGCATACACAAAGGTATGTCAGAGATCGCATCCTGTTATTCAAGCCGTACACACGTTCAGTTCCCCTGCACGCCATCATAACTTCTTGAGTGATGCAGTCAACTGCAGCAAGCAAATTTTCTTCCGAGATAGGCTGAGTGAAATCCATCGAAGAACCAATCTTCCGGCCCCCTCCCCGGTCCCGAGCCTCCTGAAGCGGCAGCCTACGCACGCGCTCCTGCTCAGCTCGTTATTCGGCCGCCAAGTGAACATGTTTGCGTCATGAACTCAAGACCAAGATCCTAGTGATCCTGCAGCAATGGAAGCAAAGACCAGCGCAGCACGAGAGAGGCTGACACAGCAGCTGCGACAGGGCGACAATGGCAAACAGTCGTCTCTTTGCATTATCAGACGGTTGTGTTTTGAACCCTGGTAACAAGTCATGACAGAATCGTGCTTGGCTCAATCTGCTACACCCAAGCGAGCGTCCTCCAGGCAGGTCTGTATCAGGTCTATCGCCCGGGATACATCGAACCTGCTATGCAATTTCGACTCCGCACGGGACTGCGGGTTGCCATGATTTCTTGATGTCTGAAACCATTGACGCCACCCTGCGCTCTAAACCTTGCAACGGCAACCCACAGCGGCGCTATCTGCACTCCACTGAAGTCACATAAGGCAAGGACTTCTTGTGCTGCAACACCCGCAAGGCGCTTAGCCGGATGAACCTCAGAACCAATCATCTGATGCTGGGTCGTTGCTTCCAGCGCATGCTTCATCGGAGCTTAACTCTCGTCTTTCCCCTGCCCTGCACGTCCAAGTTTCTGTCATCGGAGTGTCGTATTTGGCAAGACTTTGTCGAGTCGCTCTTCATACTAGTAGCGGCAGCTTCATCCGCCGCATGAAGGAACCGCAAGGAAACAATACACTGAACTGCCCACATGCACAACGGACATTGGTCGCGACATAGACTGACGGATAGTACGATTACAAGGCAGTCGTCTCCCTTCTATGCCATCCAGCATGTCCCAGCCAGCCAGTTGAGCGTTTTTGCTCCTGCTGTCTTTGCCCAGCATGCACCAGCCACTCTAACCGCCGCTAGGACCTGACACCTTCTTAGGAGTCCTAAGTCCTATCGCTCGCTCAGCATGCACCGAAGCCCTAATGAATCGAGAGGAAACAAAAACTTGACCGAAGCAACCTGTCATTGTGCAAGAACTCGGGAATGCCAAGATGCTCGGGGAGATCATCCCTGCCGCTGCGTCGCCTGGGCCAGTCTGAGCTTAGTGACTTAGTGTTCCCAGCTTCATCAGGTCTCTGCATATAACATCCGGACCCTGCGACCCGACTCCTAAACTTCACCAGGTCTGGCGACATCGAATGTCTCTGAGCAACTGGCGTGGCCCACTCCTTGCGCAAGGCTGCCAGGGCTTGCACCTGATCCGACAGAAGAGCGCGTCCAACAACAGCAACAGCAACTGCAACAACAACCACAACCACAACAACATCCACGACCACAACAAGAGCAGCAACAACAACAACA